TGTGTATATGCAATAAATTCTCTGAGCCATAACAGCTTTAGCTAAGGAAAAATGGAAACAGTGATAGTCTGGATCAGTTGTTTTGCCTCAACCAGTGTCTCCCAACTTTCCTGTCAGCATGTGTATGCATGCTGAAAACATATGTGGCATCTCAAGATAAGTGTTTGAAAGTGGTTTTGTGAAACTGCAAATTAATTTTGAAGACTAGCTTTGGTCCATTGGAACAGCCCTGTAATTGTATCAGCTAGCACTACACTGTCATAAGTTTCTTTTCAATGTCTTCCTACCTTTTTCAAAGTAGTAACATGCTACAAAATACATTTAGGGCTATTGGTAAGACATGTGTCAATTGGAAACTGTGGTTCATTATGTAAATGCTGTCCTTTCATACTTATGTTTTAATCTCAGCCTAAGATCCATCAGTGCTCTTTTTAGGATGAGAAAGCTGAACACATTTCTAGCACTGTATCTAGACGTGCTCTCTTCATGCTTTTAAATGACCTGAAACATAGCTGGGACGTGGCCGAGTGACCTCTGGCTCTTCTGGGGACGGGCACGCGTCGAGTGCTACCCTGCTTCCAAGAATAATTCCAGTACAAACCAATATAAGGAAGGGCACTGAAAGCTAAATCAAGTAAGAATCAATTCAATCAATTTTTTAAAAAGCCCCTGCTGACCGTTCCTGAGGTGTCAAAGTCTTCAGTGAAATCCCTCTCTACTGAATGTCCTAGAAAATGTCAGTCCACCAAACGGTTCGGAGAGCTCAGTTTCACTCTCAGCTTGATGATGACCAGAGTATCATCAACATGTGTCAACGAGGAAAAGCTTTAAACTGAGACACGAGTAGTAGCACAAAGTCCGACACAGAGACCCCCCCCCGCTGAAATCTAAACTACTTTAATACATTTCTATTGTTAATAGACCATACAGACGCCAAAGTGCTTATCAGAGAGTTCATTTTTCCTAAGTAAAGTTCATAGATTAGACCAAAAAAAACCTTACATTTAACATCCTTTAAAAAAATCAACCACTTTGTTCTCACATGACAATATGCAGCAGTAGTCTCAGGAAAGGGTATTTTGAGGTGCTGCCTTCAGTCTGAATAATAAGAACATATTGACAAAAAAGAGGACTAATGCTATGGCTCCCCCTCACACTTACTTATGTGTTTTCACAGTGTTTTGTGAACCGCCAGGAAGGTCAACAAAGAGCACATGTTCACAAAGTGTGTGTGGGGGGGTCTCCACTGCTAGTGTCTGAACGCAGGTCCCTGAAGCAGCAGTTTTGACATTAAGATTAAGCCTGTAGTTGTTTAAGAAACAGTTCATTTCTCTAATACAGCCTATCCATATTCTGAATGGCAAAAAATTTAACTTCCCCATCTCTGAGATCTCAGTTACAGGGTTGTTACCCCTGAGAGGGCTTCTTCTACATTATATTCTGTAAAAGTATGCATTTATATGAATACAGGTCCTTTAAGCGATCAATGATGCTTGAGACACAGAAGGTAAAAATGTCATGCCATGCTGGGGCATGACAGCCCATCCTTAGGTGCTTACTGGTAGAGACATCTGACTTTACTCTTTTCTGAAAAATCTTCTCCTGAGACAAATCCTTACACTCTCTCAGACAGGGAAATGATTTAGGTGGAATGTAGGAAAACCTCTCATTTGCAGAAAATACTGATATGCTGAAACTCCATAGGACTAGCATGACTGGCTAGTATTTGTTGCATTGCTGATTTTGTTTCTGGGAATATAGAACTAACGATCAGCCTGTTATCCAGTGAATGCTCTGAAACCCTTGTTTTGTTATTTTTACGAGGTCTTTTGCAAACACTCTTCAAACAGCTGAAAGACTAATGGAACCAGTCCTTGTAGGAGGTACACAAATGCCAGAAACAGGTAACTATTTTTAGGGTCATGCATATGTATTTGGAAGGGTCTGGAAGTCTGAATATGCTGTCACTAGCAACAGTTTGCCACAGGCTGTTATGTGCCTCAAGCCAATGTTACCAGAGATCCTCTTTGGCTTTACACAAGAAACGTGTGTCCGATGCCAGATCATGTGCATGGAAAGTGTTTTAGTGAATTCCTGAAGAACAGAAACTAGAGGAAAGAAGATTTTGAAGAGCTACATCATCTCCTACAGAATAGGCAGCATTTGCTGTTATAGGTGTCAGTGTTTACCCTTTTAGACGGAAAGGTTTGACCCAGCCAGGCAGGATTCTGAGCCATTTTCTGCCCCGCAAGCCCATATGCTCTGCCTTAATGTTCAACATGTGAAGCTACCATGTTTTCCAAATGTATGGATGGTATGCCTCTGTTCCTATGCTTGTTTTTGGAGTAATTTGTTGTCTGTAATGAAAGGGGCAGAGAAAATTAGTTTTTTAAATCTTGTTTTCTTCTTGGTGTGATTATTCTGTTATTTCAAGGAAAGATTAGGATTTCTGTCATTTTCTGCTCTCATTTCTACAGCCATACAATATGGCTTCAGTATGCTCTAAGAAGCAGGTTACCTGCTTAGAAAAATGTATCTCTGAACCATGGATGTGGCATTAGCTAAGAGAATTATGTGTGTCCTGTGCAGTGAAGCAGATGGGGTCTGTGGATGAGTTAGCAATGACTCATGAGGTTGTCTTAAATAATGGATTTTTTTTTCTCCTAAATGGCTTAAAAACTCATATACTTTGGGGAGGGAAGCTCCAGTAGCTGCTCTTGCAGAGCACGAGCTATTCAGTCTTCAGAGTAGCAGCTCTAGCCTTGCAGAGGGGTAAGCATTCCTCTTTCTTACATTTGCAGCTCACACTAGATTTTAGAAAACCAACCAACAAACAAGAAAACTGAAAAAAAAAAAAACCCAAAGCAAAAACCAACCCACAAAATACCAGCCCCATACCACTCTGTGAGGAGAGCCACAGCCCAGCTAAGGAAAACGCTTTACTTTCTATCTTTGTTTCAGGCTCTTATTACTTGTAAAACTTGAGTGGCTTCCAGTTTAGTCATTTCCCCTTATCAGGAAATTCAGATGAAATTACATTCCTTCCGGAGGCTTTTAGGGGTACATAGGAGTCTTATTTGGCTTTACAAGAGATGTACTTTTCTGGCATCTTTTGTTTTTTTCCCAGCCAAGTGGTGGTCACCTGATCAGGTCCAGTGTCCAGGATCCCCTTCTGATTGTCCCTGCAGACGTGTCTCTGAAATGGGGCATTTTGTCATCTTGTTCTCCTACCCACCTCACCTTCCCCAGGAGCGCAGAAACAAGCCTGCCTCTGAGGGAAGCGGCCTGAATGCCCCCTCCTCAAAGTTCATTATTTACTTAACCAGCATCCCGCTATTAGGAAGGGGCCCCGTGCGAGAACAAACCTTTCCTTGCTCAATTGGGCAGTGAGAACCATACCTGAAGGCAAATTTTCCAAACAAAGTGGTAGCACTTTGCTTTTAACTGTCACTCAGGACAGTTTTCTGGATGAGGATCAATACTCACGAGATGAGCAAGCTACTAATATTTACTACCACTGCTGTTTATTACCTGTGCCTAGAGCTTCTAACAGATAGCAGGGCCTGACGGCGTTCACAGATAATCTCTGCACCAAAGTGCTGAAGGAGAAGGAGGAGCTCGCGAATTAGCTGGCCTCAGGTTGCCTCTCCGGCAGACCTGCCCAGCCCAAGGCTCTGGGCTACCATTCATCCCTTTGCATTGCACCCAGATAGGGCAGGAGGAAGAGCAGAGCTTGCCCCTACGCCCTCAGCGGCGCTGGGGTCCATCGCGGAGGCCTGCCCTCGCCGAGGCTGCGGCAGGGTGCTGCCCAGCGTCCCTCCCGGAGCCCTCAAGGCCCTGCTGAGGTGAGCAGGCAGCAGCACTCCCCTTTTATAGGGTTTGCTGGATTACGTTGGCAGTAAATCAGCCCAGGTGGAGTACAACCCCCAACGGTGCCGTTTCGGCATCACAAATGGTGCTGATACGGTCAGAGCTGCCAGATCACATCCACTGGGAGCCGGGATCAGGATTTCCACCGTTTTCCTGGCTCATAAGGGCCACCTCACTAAAAGTGTGCCTGTCTGGCTGCCCAGCAACCTTGGCGCAGGGCTGCTGAATCAAGAATACCTGCCTGGCTGCTGCCACTTCCTGCCCCACAGCAGCCTCCAGTGGCAAGGAGCTCTTCTCGCAGACACAGCGCAGCTCTGCGGCTCTGGAAACCCTCACTCACCTCTTACGCCAGAGCAACGCTGGCCCTCTACCCAGAGACATACATGGAAAAATAATGTAATGCCACTACCATTTCCATTAAGGCAGCTGTGATCCAGGCACCGGGATAAAAAACTACTTTAAAAAGATTAAATCGTCAGTACTTCCCATGACTCATCCAACAGCTGAGATACGTATCTGGCTCAAAACCAGAACAGCCATCCATTGAACACCCGATTAAAAGGAAGGGCCAACTCTTAGTTTAAAATTTTGCTTGAACCTTTTGCTTATCAGTGGCGAAGCCACACGCTCTTGAGGATTCAAGACCTAGGGAGGCACTTTGGCACATGCATAACCAAGCACAAACTCAAAAATCTTGGCTACCTAGGAATCAAATTAACCAAGCACACGTTTACCTTTCCAACGCAAAGCGCTTTGTTGAACTGAAGTTTGAATCACAGCCCACTGACGCCAATCAAAAATCTCGAGGACCTGAGATTCGACTCAGAGCTGCCAAGATCATGGCCGGCCAGCACTCCTCGTCCCTCACCACAACCGCCACACATGTGCACCCCAGTCCCTGCTCAGCCACAGCTCATGGTGGCAATCCCTGGCTATTGTCCCATCTCATGTACGGCTCCCATATCGTCTCATGGCACACGCTAAACTTTGTGGACTACAGCTCAGCCCGGCCTAACCCAAGCAGGAGCTTTCCCCATTGGGATGTGCCCAGCCTGCAAACTAATTTTGCAGACATATCACATGCAATAGGAGAAGTTAGTTACAAGAAGCAAGATCAACACTTCACCAAATGTAATCAACATTTTATTTATAAACATACATTTACTATAAAAGCTGTTGCATTTTAGACAAGTCTTCCTAATTTCCAGAGGCATTTTAGAATAAATAAAATAAAGGAAAGATTAGCGTAATCGGTATTCAACATTAGCCCCAGCTAGGACAGCAATCCTTGTCCTTGAATGGACATGCGTATAAGGTTGGTCCCCTGTCAGTTCACCAACCTTTAGGACATTCACTGAAAACTACAGATGAACTGCATCATAACACTACACAGCAAGAGTAAGGAAAAAATGCACCATGGAATTGGAGTGGTGAAATACAGATGGGTTATGACACCTATTCAGGTCCTCTGAAGCATTAAGAGGCTAAGTAATTTTTGAAACATCTAAAAACCATTACATACATTGTACTTGTTTAGCAACAATATATCACTTTTGCAACAAATACATTTACATGGTAGTTCAACTGTAATAAAGTGTTATTTTTTTTCCTGTGCTGCAAAGTTCCTGATAAGAAATGTATCATATTTTTGTGTTTAAACTGAAAACAAAGGAGAAAAAAAAGGTCTTAGCCCAAATGAATTCGCCATATAAGACTCCAAATGAAAATTAAACCAAACATCAACAAAGTAGTTGGCAAGTGCAATTTAGAAAACTTGAAAATTATTCTGTGCTGCTGTTTAGGGGGGGGGGAATTGTGGTCTGAGAATGCTGCTTCTTCGTTTTGCTTAACATACAATTAACTTCACTACAACATGCATATATGAATCTATTTGCTAGAGCCTGGGATAAATTTCCAAGCAGCTTCAGAGCCCCAGCAGCGTGTCTGCAAGGCTGCACCCCCCCACCCCCACCCCTTGCTCATGCATTTTGGTTCCAGTCATGCTCCTTCTGACATCTTTGGGCATCTACCACTAAGTTAATGAGAAGCAGATCTAACCTCTGCCTGTGACAACCAACCTTTTTATACACTTGCGACTGATTTGCACATCTAAACTACATCACATGTGTGAATCAGTGTTAGTGACTCATACCATACAGACATACAAGCATGCATTAAAAAGAGGTTTTGTTTGAAAGTTAGGCCCACACATAATATATTCACATAGCTTTAATGCAGCACATGGAACTATACCGATGTACAAAGTAGTTTATAAAATCTTTTTGACTTTCCATGTATGCATTATTTGCAGGAAAATGTTACGATGAGCACATGCAAACTGTAAACATCCTAGTTATTAAAAACCTTTAATCATGCAAATGGTTAATCAAAATATTGGACTTCACTGTCTTATTTCCAAAACATTTTTCTGATTTTCATTTTTTTTAAAAATACTCCCCAGGTGAAGTCCCATGAAGGACTTCCAACTTTTTGGACTTATTGCATCCATGAGTCATCACTGACTGTGTGCAACAGCTTTGCATTTTCTAAGGCACAATTTTAAGGAAATAACATGTAACCTTCCAGCAGACAGTCACAATGTCCTCAAATGACAACACTTTGCAGGTGTTTTCAATGATAAGCTGTTTTGCATGGGTATGCAACTCATATGCAAGCAAGCGTCTAGTGTTTAAATTAATAGTTGTTAGCTATATAACAACTCAAAATTATTGCTTCCCTAATAACCACATCATTTCCATTTACTGACACATCAACAGACAATGGATGTGCACATACATAAAACAAGAAACCTCAGTTTAGTTTTATCATAGTTTTTAAGGCAGAATAAGCTGTTTTATTTTCTCCATTTTAAGTTGCATTTTGAACTGCTAAAATGAGATATTTTACAACTGTAATAGATCACCTCACCTTGTCTGTGTATGCTAGATATTCTAGATAACAGCTAGGTCCTAGCTGACCGAGCTCTGCCTGCTGTTCCAGCAAGCTGCCGGAGCACCTCAGCAAGGAGCACACACCTAAGCGAAAAGCACAAAGGAAAACTGACCCAAATACAGACAAGTTAAGCTTTTTTGCCTGTCGCTATCAGCCTCCTCCCTGCCCGCTTTCCGCACTCCCGGTTTTTGCTGACCTTTGGGGGTGGATGCATGGAGCGACACGGGTTCATGGCCATCACTCGGCTGCCCTAACTCACTATTAAACCTAGTGATGACTCGGGAGGGGACCCACACCACACGTGTTTCTTCTCCTGCAATTTCAATAGAGCATAACACCCGCAAGTGAATGAGCAGATCTCAAAACAACTCAGACCATCTACGGGAAAGTTACAAGCCAACAGAAAAAGTTCACCATACCATTGACCTGCAGCCTGTACACTCACGGTTCAGTTGTATCTGCCCATTCAAGCTCCTCTCCCCCATGCCACCCTTTCATCAAATTTAACAGCAACATCGGATACTGATTTTATCATGAGGGGTTGCTCCCAATGGGAATTTTGCAGTCGCTAATGGTATACAGTCTTTAGGTTTAATGAAGAAATCTTTATTTGACAGAATAGTAAGCTATGGTCATGAACATTACATAAGGTACACAAACAAAAAATCCTATCACTAAAGGTGCAATAATTTATTTGTATAACTCCTACCCTCCACTGAAGGTAATATAAACACAAAATGTTTCAGAATTACAAGCTGTATTATCAAACTAGTCTCTGTATAAAAAAAAGTTATAGCTTCAGTTATAACAGAGAAGTCATGTGCTGCGGTGTTTAGTTTTTCAAATGCACTGATTAGATACTATCTTAAAATTACTTCTCATCTCAGGTTGGCATATGCTATAAAGGCTCTGTAAACTTAAAATTTTAATTCCTAGAAATATTAAAACAGAACAAGTTTATTGCATCTTTATTTTCATATTACTTTTAAAAGAACAAAGTAACTGACTGGATATCATAAACATACCTGAAAAGGTGGGAATTTTTTTTATAGTGCTTAGGCTATACCTTACCAAATACAGTCATACGTATTTTGCAAATTCCTTAAGAAAGGGGGGAAAAAACATATTGCGTTTTAAAGGAGCAGGGGTAGCGTTTTCATATGAGCTTCTCAAAATGAGATGAGAGCTATGACGTCCATGGATTCAAGCTCTTACAAGTGATTGTCTGGAGGCAGCCGAGACATATGAGAAGAGAGTTCCTTCTTGCAAGTTATTGGGACTGAAAGTCATGTCACAATGTAGTTGGCTGCCCAGCAGCTGGATAAAACAAAACAAAACCAAGACATTAGATGACAGATTTTAACAACCATTCCTCCTGAAACAATGGAGTAGGTATCTCATCTCTATAATTCTATCACTATAATTCAAGCAACCACACCTGGAACTATACATCATTTGTGCCGTAGTTCTGTCTTCCTCCGGCAAAGCTGGGGCACTAACTGCAACAAGGATTCAGCATAACTCTAGTGAAAATGTTTTCCATGCCATATGGACAAATGATTTTCCTTGCACTGCTGACTGCAGTCAACGCATTCACTTTTATTTCACTTACTCACAAAGCACTTGTGGGTGTATTTACTTACAGGCTCTGCAGTGGAAAAACAGTGAAGCAAAGGACTGATGAGTCATCTTTGGCTGTGCCTGTTTTCTGTTACGTGATAATACAGAACCCTTGTGTTATTTGGGCAGAGCATCTCATCAATTTACTGCCTGCCTTGGAGTTCAACCCTAGCAAATCTGCAACTATTCCTGCATTTGACATTGAATATTGAGTTCCTTTCAATAATTATCATTGTGAGCTTTCCATGTAGAGAAATAACCTATCAATAAACTCTCATACGCTTTTGTTTACATAGTACAACTATGCCTTGGACCACTAGATAATCTTTAACATGTTTTCTCTTAAGGTTTCTGAAATAATTTGTTATGAAAAAAATTCATCTACAGCTTCAAATAAGCTTTTAGCAGCCAAATATTTCTCTAAGATATCCATAAGCACCTCAAAACAATACTGATTAATTCTGGCTTCGGTGAAGAAGAACAATTGCATGCAGTGCTGTGAAGGTTTTAAGATGCAGACAAAGGTGTGGGCAGGCAGCAAAGAGCTGCGGAACCAAACTACTGATTTTATATTTAGCATCAGGCCTTCCAGAGCTGAAGGGAGAAAAACAAACATTGCACCAATTTGTTCTCCATTTCAGATGTGGAGTCCATCAAATTTTTGTTAAAAACAAGCATGCAGCTAACCATATTTGTGGTTTCATGACATCAAAATCAGTCCCTTTGAAACTGTCAACAAGAGCTGCTGTAACTTAAACTCAACTGAGCTTTTGCACGAAAAGCGGCAAAAGACAAACCCTTTGCCATTAATATTTTTCAGGCACTGAACATTTTGCCTGCGTTCCCTCGTCACAGGCCTGCTTTCTGTTGTGCTATGTACCCAGAATGCAAAACCTTGCAGCACAAGACGTTGTAACATGCAGCTCTGCCCTGCATTTTCCAGCACCACCGCTGTAGAAATGATGAGGGAGGGGATGATTTATCAGCATACAGGCTGATAAATATTCCATTTAACGGAGCCTTCATCTGGCATAAAGACACCTCAACTCATTTTAGCAAAAAGGATTAAGAAGAGAGGGAAAATACAACTTTTACTATCTTCCTCTCGTTTTGTGTGAGGATAGAGGTGCAAACGCACATTTTAAGGCCTGTTTCAGCCACAGGAGATAGGTATGTAGTCCTGAGCCTGCTGAGAGAAAGAGCTGTTTCTAAATGTGTTCAAGTTAAATAAATAATAATAAAAAGTTGCTGACATTTCTAAGCAGAAATAAAAGAATTCACCAGAAACAAATGGTTATACAATAGCACCCTCTAGCTTTGCTGATGGGGAAATATCTCTGTCATGAAATATCAGAGAAAAAAATCTATTTTTCTGCTGACAAACGTGAATCAACTTTCCTACTACTGAATGTCTACAGCCACTGATTTTGAAGACGGGAAAAGAAAACAGTAAGTGAAAATAGCTCGATATCTCGATTTATCAATTGCAAACATGGGCAGTGAATATACTGAACAACAACACATTGCAGGAAGACTATTATTTCAATGTTGGGGTGGGTTTTTTTTTTTTATTGTGCCTTCCCCTTTTCCACAAAGGGGAAGGACAGCATGTGCACTGCCCGTCCCACCACACTGGTGACATCAGGGTGAAGCAGAAATGCTCTGGCAAGCTGGTCACAGAAATCCAGGACCAGAAAGGACTTTCGGCTGACTTACTGTAAGGTAGAAAAATGTATCAAGATTTTTCCTGACAGGCAGTTGCCTGGCTCCTTCCTCAAAACTTGTAGTGAACTACTTGGAGCATGCCTAGGGATCCCACCATGGGGATTCATCATATTAAGTTACAAAACGTTGCTGGTAACTTCCTTGTTCTTCTCTGCAATTTGAGGCCTGGAAGCATAAAAGACAGGAACTTCTCCAAACCAGGCCCAGGGTCCGAGGCCCAGCAGCGGTCCCTCCACCGCCTCATGTGAGTGGACAGATAGATCCCAGTCTCCAAGACACGCAAGATCAGCGCACAGTGTGGCATTTGCACGTATGCGCAGGAACTTATGCTTATGCTAATACTGCTGAGCAGTGACCCTTTGGCCGAGGCTTCATGGGCCTGGAAGTGCTTTTTGAGATGAGAGGATGATTGAAATGGCATGGGAAGAGGAACAGTGGCAAAATCATTTGGGCATAAGGGAGAACACATTTCCAGGAGGCAAAAGCCGCAGCTGTTAAAATCATGACAATAGTATTGTTAGAGCTCACTGTGAAATCACAACAAAATATACAGCTACTTTAGCATAGGATTTGGTACTTACTTCTGGATCGGACATAACAATCATTGCAGTTCAAAAGACCGTTTCTAATCCTGACATCAGTCCCACTTGCTGCATCTCCTAGCTGTCCCTTGCAAATGCCACACTGTCAGGTGAAGAACAGAGAAAGTAAGAGAGATTGTTCCCTCCTATCTGTCACCGTTCTCCCAAAATTTTGACTCTTGTTTCAGTAGTATTGGAATGGTGATAACAAAGAAAAACTGCAACAACTACTCAACCCATACTCCTGTGGCACACTGCAAGGCAATGAAAGTTTAAGAGCAAATAGTATTTAGGACTGGATATCAGTGGTCTGCACTTACACAGAAGTGAAGTCTACTGATTTTAAGGGACATCTGGTTTGGATATTGCATTCTGCAGCCAGCCCATTTTGTGCTGGACAAAGCTTAAAAAGGCCATGGTTACCGTGGCCTTAGTGGTACCACTAAGGTTTGGTTTGGGTAAATGTCTAAAAATGAAAATGGCTACAGGAACGTCTAATACCAATTGGTCTGGAGTTAATGAAAATGGGCACTTTCTGAATTCTCTAGAAAACACAGTATTTTGTTGTTTTGTTGTTCTTGACTGACACACTCAGGAACAGTCATGACATATTTGTGTTTGTAGCTCCAATGAAAGTAAAAAGACACACATTTAAAGACATCAAAAATGATGAGAACATTTTCAGAATACATGATCAGATAAAAAATTTTTGGAAGGCATTTCTTAGCGAAAGCTTTCCAGGTTGGACCATGAGTCATACCAAAAACGGGGGAGTTGGTTTTGGGACTGACCAGGATTTTGAGAAAATCACAAGGTAACTAATTTTATATTTGGAAAACAGTAAGTGCAACTGGGAAATTATACTATGCCTCAGATCTCTGTAAGTTAGGAAGCTGACTTTGCTTGCTAAGTCACAGATTTTAGTCCAGCTAACATGTCTGATAAAAATAACACATTAGCTGTATTAGTTTAAGTTCTCTACAAACAAATGTATGTAACAAACATGCCAGCCACTTGCTCCTCTCATTATTCATTTATTAATGAGAGACCACAACAGCCTCTCTCCTTACACTGCACTATGACTTGAGATTTTTCCTAAGTGGCCAAAACAAGAGACTTACCCTGAAGCACTGAATGTGGAAGTAAAGACCAAGTGTTTCAATAATCATAGCAGCTCCTTTTCCAAGAGGAAGCCCACAGGTAGAACACAACTTCCTTCCACTGACAGATCTAGGAGACAAAACATTACTTTAAGAAAACAGAATGGCAACTTATGCTGAAGCGCAGCCAAATGTTTTCACAGGATTATGGAGAGGGACATGCTGGCAGGAAGGAGCATGGGAGGGAAGGGACCTGGCCCTGCAGATCGCCCAGACCCTGCTAATGCCATGGCACTCAAAGCAGATATTCACATGAATTGAGTGACCAGCACAGAACACTTCTTGCTGGCGTGTTTGAAACATAGGGCCTTAAATGAAGAATTTCACAATCCATTCTTCCAATCACGGACGACTGAGGCATAGAAATATCAGATCCTGGGCCTGGATGTTTTTCAGTTTGTTTGCAAACAGCTTTGCTCACTGCAGGGCAGAAGGCAGGAACGCAGCTCTCAAACCCAAACAAGCTGGTTGGCTAAGTTAACGGGAGTAGCACAATTGCAGTAGCACAGAGCAGGCATTAGACACTAGCTAGTTTTAATCTGTGTTGCTGCAGCCTCATGCCTGTTAGTTAGAGTAAAGCTGAAATCAGAGCTCCATCTGCAGTGCAAAAATATTTCAACTCTCTCCTTAAGATTCAGTCCTGTCTTGACATTTCTAATAAATCAGCTGTTGACAGCTGGGTTAGGAGTCAGGTCATCAGGTACTCTTTTCCATACAAGTGTACACCTGCACTGCCACTAAAACCAGAGTATGTATTACGTGCTATCCCCTTCTCCTCACCTCTCTGCCTGCCTGCCAGATGGGATGTTTGTCTAGTAGAGTACCCTGAGACCAAAAGGGATCCCTAGTCATTATGGATCATCCACATTTTGTCAGGGGTGACTCAGGAGAGACGCTTTGGGATACCTCACGAGTTTCAAAAAGATGGTTTGATGAAATTATACACAGACAAGCAAGTTTACAATGTCTCCCTTTATGTTTTTGCAGCAACAACATAAGCCGCCAACAGACACAAATCTGGACTGTATCATGATAAAAAAGCCAAATATTTTTCACAGTCAGAAAACTGCCCTTGCTGCAATCTAATATCACTTTGTCACTTCCGAGACCACCATTTATCGCATCACATACACTGACAGCACAGTCAGATCACTGTCTTTTCTTGCTGCTCCGTTCTTGTTACTCATCTTAGAGTAACCTCCCTGGTTTCTTCTCCTCTCCTACAACAATAAGCCTTTCGCTCTTATTGCTCTTTGCATTATTCTCACATCCACCTTTTTCTTCATAGCTTCCCCACTATCAGCATATAAGGACAAGTTAAAGCATTGAATCAAATAACTAAGAGCTTTTGTGACAAAAAAGAGACGTTTTCATATACTTAACTGGGGGAATGAACTACATCCTAGCTGCTATTTCCAAATCTAAGATCTATTTCATGAAAAGATCTTGGAAAAGGGACTCAGATCAGGATATAGCTTCTAGACAATAAGAAGTAGCTATGAAGCCTAGCTACATGTAGCAAGAAATGACCTGCAACTCCACCAAAACTGAATCTACAATTAGCAAAAACAGAAGAAAATGTTCACCAAAAAAATTGCCAGTAGTTTCACGTCAATGCAAATGGCATCAGAAAGAGGGCTTTGCTATCAAACCTGAAGAAAAATGTTATTTAAATAGAATAAAATCTTGCTATGTTTTCCATGTTGAAAATAATATTGCTCAATTAATATTGCTCAAGTAATATTACTCAATTTAATAAATCAACTAATTTTAAAATATCCTCATGTTAAAATGAGTAGTGGTGATTCAGCCAGGCTACAGTTAATTTTGACCTGGAGCATGCATCTCATTGGAAGCTGCACAATCCAGTGCCTGAAAGAATCAAATCTCTAAGAGATTAGTAAAAATGTAGGAAAATTAAAAAAAAAAGCAGAAAAGTAAAATCTTTTTCAGGTCTTTTGGAATTTTGGAAATTAATTTTTTAAAAATCAGTAAGTGTTCAAATGGCAGTCTCATGAGAACTTTCAGAGCCAGTCTTAAGTGTTAGACTTTCACTATTTCACCTAAAAGCTGAATGAAAGTTCAAAAATCTAAACACAACTGAGAATTCTTGAAATCATAAGTTTTCTCCTAATGAATCATAATTGACTTTGTATGAGGAGGAGATTAGAGAAATTTGCAGTCAAGAACCCACTTGATATCTTTTCTAGTTCTATGCAGGATATATTGTATGTCTAACACGCAGGTAGATGCAATTGCTATGCAATTAAACTTTGCAATAGAAAAATCCTACGGTGTGTATGCATTTCAGATAAACTGTATCCTACAGTCTGTGCCAGGGTGGCAGCTCGAAAGCCAGCAGAATAAATCTTACTTGTGAGCACGTGACTATTCACATTGAGCTACAAAGACAACATCCTTTGGCTTAAGTGCTCTAAACTCATGCTTAACTGCTTAATTTGACTGGGGCTTGTATTATCCCAGTGAGATTTCAATGATCAAGCAGAGTTCTGCAGCTGCTTTCTGAACTGTGTTACTTTATAGCATAATAGTATCCGCTGCTGAAGTAGGCAGGAAGTATGGGAGAGGGAGCTATATGTTTTATGTGTGGATGGTTATAAATTGTATCGTTTAGAGGTATTAATAGTGCATCCACATAATAGTAATGCGATTTACACTGCCGCAGTTCACCAGTGACTATGAGATGTATTCAATCTGCAAAATTCCCGATTGATCTTTTGTACCTGTTGGGTGAGTGACTCGGAGCAGCAGGAGAGCAGGGAGATGAAGGCCCAGATCGGAAATTCTCGTGATAGCCTGCCCTAAAATACAGGGGAGAAGAAGAAATGCAATAGCTAAAGAACGAATACAGCCAGAGTTTTTGTAATGAGAAACTCTGGCTGATGGGTTTCAGGATTCCCAGCTCTAAAGATTTAATTTAACACCAAAACAAAGTATTAATTAGCTGTTCACTGCTATTTTGACAGAGTGAAACACATATGTACATTTTTTGATTCAGACTCCTGATTTGCTTAGTATTGCTTAATAAAGACAACTCACAAGGTAATCATCCACAGGCAGACTCCTACCTACCTGCGAGTACAATTTAGCTCACATCATGATGAAGGAGGATTAAGCCAAGGCACAACACCTTGTACTCTGCCAAGGGAACGTGCACAGAAGCACACAGGTAGTAGCAGATGTGGGGTAGGTGATTGAGAGTGTGTACCCTTAACTGAGTAAAAACAAAGCTATCAACATAGAAGAGTGGCTTATTCCTAGTTGCATATGTTAAGCCTTGGAAGAATTCAGTGAGAAAAAAACATGCATGTTTTCTGTCATCAGAAATCACAGGATTGATTCAACCTCTCACTGCTTAAAGCTGTTTACAGATCACACAACAACTTCCTCAAACATACATAAGCAGTTTGTTATGAGGAGTAGGGTGCCAAAATTCAATCTGCATTAGTTTTGACTGGATGGATACAAGTCTCACAAGAGTAGCACATATTTTGCAGGAGACTGTTCATATATATGTAATGAAAACAGATGTTCCTTTCTCATTACACAGACATACTTTGTGCAAACGTTAGGCCAATCCCGCTCTTGTTTACTAAAAGAATTGGCATTACCCATTAGCAATGATTACCAAAAACACAAGGCAAGGAAGAAGAGAAATCTCATCAAAATCTACAGCAGAAAGAAAATACTAGTCTCTATATATTTTCTTTTAAATGTTATAATCCTTAAAGAACTGGAATGCAACAATAAACGTGGGTTTAGAAGCTGGGGAACTAAGCTCTTAGATGCGAACTTCAACGAGGCAGATTTTACCTGATGTTCCCAGTGTGGTATTTATCCACTTACTAGCTATAAATGTTTGCTTTAGGCAGTTAAAACAAAGTACATATAAATGGTTACATAGATAAGCGTTAAAAGAGCTGAAGAGAAAAAGAGGGATACTGGCAAGCAAAGGGTGTGCTTCCTAATGAAGTTAGTTAGTGGGGAATCGGTGATGAAAAATGAAGCGCAGAAAAGTTAGCAGGCTTGGCAGGAAAGCCAGGAATTAAAAATACCTGCACGCTGCATGATTACTCAGGTATGAGCCAATGAAATTTAACTTCTGAAGCACACTGAGTAGCAATAAAAGGGAGAACAGAGTTAGCAGGACTTCTCAAACTTCGCAATAACCTTCATTGTACGTTCTCACCTCCTCTTGTCCCCCGCGGAGTTAGACTGCTGGCCCGCGCTCTGACCCTGCGACGTTCTCTGCCTAGCGTCGTCTGCGCGCTGCGGGGACTGTTTGGTTAGCAGCTGCTGGTTCCACGAGATGTCTGAAACGAGATGGGGTGATTTCAATACTTACAGCAAAATGCCTTTGAACATTTACAAATCAGCATCCCTTGTGGGCGCACCATACAGGAGACATGCCATGTGAACGTCAGAATTAGGCCAAGACAATCTTCTAGACTCAGGTAAGACGAGGAGGACACCAGGAGCTACCGGTTACACATAGTGCTGTATGTGCATGTGCCCAACCCTCCCCCCGGCTAACCTGTTCCCCTTCCGAAAGTGCTGGTACTCCAAGAGAAGTTCTCAGAAAACCCACACAACGTCAGAGGGAGGCCCTGCTGCTCCAGAAGGCTTCGCTGGGACTAACTCCTACTGTATTACCTTCACATTAACATCACTCGCACTGCTGCTGGGTCTCAGTTTTGGGGGAAACAGCTATTCTTGAGGAGCCGTTGAGGAAACAAAGTATTTCTGTACTAAGTAAAAAGCACCAAAGAGAGAAACTTCCTGCGGTCCCCGGGGACCTAAACTTCTCAAGACTTACTAGAAAGGAAGTATAGTCACTATTCTCCATAAGCCTATTCATAAACAGTTGTGTTCTCTAGTGATTTCCTTTTATGTTTCACATGAGTGCATAAGGCTCGGGGACAGCAATGACCTCTCAGCAACGTGTGATGAACGGTGACACCCAGGCCACCCCATCTCCGAGACACAAAGGAGAGAGCTATGAGCATCCTGCCAGAGAAATCTTGTGACTCGCTGGTTGCAGAGGGCCCTTACCCTGCAATGCACCAACCAGCTGGGTTAGAGGAAAAGAAAAATTCTAGCAGGCCTATCAAAGGCATGTTACCTATTTTAGATGGCATCAAGACACAAGAATCCCCTATCCTGACTATTTCAGGACATAAGGAGAGAGCAGGGAGGAGAGGCATCAAGGCGTAAGAAAGAAGCAGTCAGAGCACTGATAAGGGAGCAATTTGCTGAAGAGAGCCTAGAAAAAAGCCTGATTAACAGAAGAAATTAAAACCATCAAAGCTTTGAGGTTTGCTTAATCACTACTACAAATCCACAAGGATGGACTGCTGCAGTATCTTTTGCTTTCTTTATTTGAGCAACCTTTAATCCAAGCACTAACGGTACAATAAAATTGTGACAGAGTAAACAAACAGGCTAAGCTTAATAAACTGAGTTTGCATTTGGAGCAAGTAATAACACTGAAAACTTTTCTATTCATAGATCGGTTTCATTTTTTTAGGATCATCAACTTTTATGCCAGACTGAAAATAAAGATCTAAAACCCAATTTCAAAACCTATATTTGCTCCTTACCTTTAGTCTTAATTACTCTGCACTTTTCACTTGCATTAGAAAATGATACTAAATTAGTGAATTTCCCATTTATTTATGATGACTCTTCCTGACAACAATGCTTTGAGGAAATGCCTACATTCAAGGAATAGTAATATTTATGAGGGCTTAAAATATTCTATTAATCTTAAACGCTGTCAGGCATTTCTAAGGGCATAATTGAGACAGCTGACTCTTTAGGTTTAATTTAAAATGGCTATACATCACAGGTAAAGGCTTTTATACACAGAAATGGAGTTAATGAATCTAATTAGTCATCACAAATTAAATAAGTGTTGCAAATATGCTCTCTGTATCAAGATACATTATATATGTGTGGGTATGTGCATAGATATGCATATATATACACATATTTAAGATTACATATACAAATATAAGATTACATAACAGATAAAAGGTAACTGTTTTTAATTATTACCGTGAACATACAGACTTATTAACAAGATTTCTAACTACAGCTGAAAAACTCATCTTTGACTCAAAGAAGAAAGGCTTAATTTTCACCTTAACATATTTATCTTTACTAACAGAAAATAAACTTAGAATGTGAGACATTCACATTTTGAAGCAATAAGCCTACTGTTAATTTCCAAAATGTTTTGAGTTTCCAAGCAGCCACTAAATACCTGCAAGATTTCTGTAGGGACAAATAATACATCTGCATAAAGAGTTTTGACTCTTACCCTGAGTTAATGGCAGAGTGAGCCTGGCAGACGAGTTGCGTTCCGTCACAGATACCTGGTGCTCCTGTTCACTTCCTTTCAAGATACCAGTTTCTGGATGTCCTGAGAGTGTGTTACTTACACTGTTGATAAGAGTAAGTCACATTGTATAAATAAACCCAGGAAAAATTCCAACTGGTATATAACAGCAAAATCATACTTTTGAATACAAGTCTATTGTGCAACTATTTTTTTTAAGTGCATCACAGTGCTAAACCAATGTGGGTAACAATAATGATTGCACAAATTGGATTCTGAACGTGCTAAGTCTTCCTGCTTCATTCACACACTGCCACGTGCATGCACTAAAGATCATTCTGGATTTGTGGAAAACAGCTTCTTTGACATAGCTTTTTTCCGTGTTTTCTATATAGTATACTGCCTTATCACATGCTTCTCATCTTTGTGAAAGCTGTAATTACCAGTTTGGCAAAGACCAGAGCTTTGAAGATCATCCGGCAAGTTTGGGTACGGAGCTCTCAGGATAGCTAGGCAACTTCACAAATATCCTAATTCTGCAGGAGCACAGCTCCTGCTCCTTTATTCAACTAAAAGGTTTGGGAAACTGGTGTAAAAAACAAAATACAGGACGATACAGAGATGTCAAAGCTATCTAATGTGTAAGTTCTAATTTTGATCTGGTTAATATCACAACCTCTCAGCAGACCCACAAGCTTAAAAGGCATGTCCTCTGATACAGAACCTAGCACCGTCTTTGCCCGCTGCAAGTGAATATATATTACACCTATCACCATGCCAAGGAAATGAGAAGACTAACTTAAATCACATTTTATATCCTCTTCCATTAGCTCTGGTACCACCGGAACCATCGCCTTGTGATGCAGAACAGGTATCACAGCCTCACGGTCAGATGCTGATGCTCCAGCATCCGTCAATGGCAGACGTGTCTCCCACAACTCTGCCCAACATAAAGCTACACGCAGTGGAGAAACACTTAGGTTTGATCCATACCTCTTCTCGCCTTGCCAGAGTTCATTTTCTTTGCTTTTCAGAGATGGCATACTGTCCTGCTCCCAAAGCAATTTTTTCTGCCTTGTAACTTCTTGTTTGCCCTCCTCTGGAGAGTTGTTGGAATCAGTTGTGTTCTAGGAGACAGCAAGGGAGGGAACAAGGAGCCTCTCTTGAACTCAGCATCAGCACATGCACGAGAAAAGCATAGGCTTCCCCTAGATGCATTGTGTTGACATACCTTATGGTTATAAAGAACATCTTACGTTACATTGACCAGTTATGAGCTAGTGCAGGATGACAAAATAAAACTTCCCACTACACATGTTTGGTAGAAATCTTTGAATGACTTTGAGAGGCTAAATACTCTCCCATAGGCCTTACGGAGACTTCTTTGTGAGGCATCTCAGCCTGTTGGCATGGGCAACGTCATTCATTTTGCAGACAGTAGCCTGAGGACAGCGTATTATGTGCTCTGGGAATTCCCAAATGGCAACACCAACACTACTCCCAAAATTGTACTTGAGTGGATCCCACCTGAGTGGAGGAGCTTACGTAAGTCGTGGCATGAGATCCCTCACTAACTGGATGTAGGCATCGCCCTGAACCTGGGATAAGCAACTCCACTCAGGAAACAGCCTTGTGGAAAAATGGATATGGCTGAAGTCCTTGCACGGGGATGAGTGATAAGAGAGGGCAGGAGGGGCGAGAGGAGAACCAGGATAATACAGCATTCCTTATCTTAGAGTTGAATGGAAAAAGGTAGATGACGTAGTGGAGGCAAGGTGCCTAAGGCAAGAGAAAATTAAGTCTGGGAATCTCATATTTATTCCGCTGATCACACCTGGGGTGTCATTCTCTGATCTCTGGCATTTAGTTAGAAGCTACATGCATGAAGTTAAACATTGTGTGCAGTGTAAGCCAAAAGAGAATCACAGAGTTCATATTCACCCATTTGTTTTGTTGCTTTGTAGGAGGGAAGGTGGGAGAGAAAAGGAGGAAAAGAGAGGAGGTAGGATCCAGTCTCATCTCCGATATGCTTGACACACTGACTTAAACTCATGATTTTGGATGCAGCTAAGTCAATTCAGATTTTGCTGTTCTTCAGGAAGTGGCTAAAGCAAACAGAAACAGCTGACCGTCTTTTCACATGTAGCAAAACGTACCAGTCAAAGAAGAAAGAAAACGCAGAAAACACCTTCTGCTCTATTCCAAAGTGGGATGGTTACAGTTTGCTTGGGAGTTTGGCTATTCAGTTGTAAATATATTTAAGCTACAGTGCTCTGAAGTATCTCCAGTAAAAGATGCAAGGGACTCCAGAGATACTTTTACTGCTCCCAGACTTTGTTAGCCTTTAATGAAGAATCTAACTCTGCACTGAAGACGGTTTTGCCTTTATTCCCTTACTACTCCACAAGAAACTCACCACTGTCTTGCCTCCTTCAGTGGTGGAGGAAGAGGAGGAGAGAAGTTCAGCAGAGTTTGAAGAAACAATGAATGGAACTACAGTATCTTCAATTATCTTACGTTCCTAAAACAGAGGATGAGGAGAGAGCAGGGCGTTAAAAATACAGGATGTCAAATATGGGCTTAAAAAGTAGTAGCATAAAGTTTGGCTACACTTTCACATCCAGATGGCTAGGAAAAGACCTGTGGTACCAAGGATAATAATGGTAATAGGTTTGTCTTCTGCAAAAAGAATCACTTCAGTTTTTAATTTGCTTCAAGCTTTTGCACTCACTGCTTCCAACTGGTTTTCCTTTCACTATTATTATTTTTGAGATGAAATGTCCAGAACTGGAAAGAATATTCCACTTGGGATGGTACCACTGTTTCTCACAATACAAATTTAGAAAATTTCATATAAAAATATGAAATTACACTTGGTACACGAGAAACTCCACCAGTTGAAATAAGTTATTTCTTGTTAAGAACAGAAGTAGGGCCCCTATACATAGACGATAATATGTCGATTTGCATAACGTACAACCAGTCAAATCAAAAACATCAACATTTCCCAGTTTTCTGCCATAACGTCCCACACGTGACAGAAAAAAACAGTATTTCCTATATATTTTAATACATCACAACTGCAAAATTTAAACACTTCTGGTGAAATTTTGTGTGAAAATGAGACTAGTCTAAAAAGATCTACATGGTCAAGCCAAGGCAGACAAAAATTTCTTCCTGAGTTTCAACCAAGTTCAGTCACTTGCATATACACACAACTGTGTGCAGAAACACAGGAGGCTCTCACTCGATGGGGAACTCTGAGTATACCCAGATACAATCCTGATGACTTACCCCAACCTGTACAGCAATCAGGCACCTCCATCCGTGCAAAGATTCTGAGGATCCCTGTCTAAATATTTAAATAGTTTTCCTCGGTTCTTACGGTGGTATTTAAGGGAAACAATCCTCTTCAGATTTTGTACTTTTCAAAAATCAGTTCAGGTTTGGGTTTTCTTTTTCTTTACAGTACAGTGGGTGCATTTAAACTGAGAAAATAATTCACTAAACAGTGTCCTCCTTCGAGCATTATACCTCCTCATAGTATCTACGCTCCTCTTCTTCAACTTCTTTCTGTGCCTTTTCCCATTCCTCTTTCAGCTTGTCCTGCTCCCTCTGGTACTTCTCCTGTAAGACAACATAAATACAGATCAGCTCAGAACACTCTGTATTAGAGGAGTCATTCTGTAATATCTTTGCAGTGAAAATGAACCTGCTACAAATGGATTAATCAGAAACAGGGATGAAGTGTAAACATTTGAAACATTCATGGGTATCTAAAAGCTTCTTTTCCTCCTCTTTCCCGCTGTCTCTGGCGCTTGTATTTAACACCTTCAAACCACACAGAACTTTTAACATACCAGAAGTTTAACTTGTAAAAGAAATTTTTAAATGTTTCGAGTGAAATGAAATTTATTCTCACAATTTCAATAATGTATTATCTATCATATAGTGTTAAGAGTTCTAAAAAGCCATCACAAACCCCAACACACTTAAGCATGGATTTGCCATTAATCCTTTCAGTGTAGTAGCATATAGATTTAAATGGTTTTGGAGATACTGCTTTTCGCGCTAATTTAAAAGAGATGTCAGTATAATTTAATGAATGATGAATAGCTGTGCAAGTTTAAAAGATAAATAAACAGTGTGTACAGGTTTGAAGAGGATACGCTCATGATTAGCTAAGCAGTTCATTTTTCACCTTGACTGGATTTTTTCTTGAGAATTGGTTCTACATATTTTTGCATGAAAAAATATCTCAGAGAGATCTTTGAAATCGTTTGATAGAACTGGTTTGAACATGGGAAAGCAGAGTGACTTCCCTATCCCTTTTACATCACTTCCAGCTCCTCTCCAACTTACTGTGCAAAGAAGTTAAAAAAAGAAAATTGAGACCACATCTGCCTAAGCCATAAGAAATGCATTTCCTATTGAGAGAACAACTACATGTGCCAGAAAAATTATGATGAGAATTTTACATCATTCTAAAAGGAAATAAACATTCTAGGTAAAAAGCAATAAACTCGAGAAAGGAGCGCAGACACACAAGTCATTGTTAAAAGATGAGAAGACAACATTTTATTATTATCCATCCTCACACAGTTTTTTGCTCTTCTTCTGTTACACAGAGGAAAGATACAATTCATTTGGGACTATTCATAGGTAACCATATTGTCAAAAGATACTTCTGACTGACAAAGGGATTTTTGCGTTCTTAAGGCCACTGCAGTTCTCTCAATGAAGACAGAAAAACAGACCTTTTACAGCTTACTCTACCACTAGGCAAAAACAGTGGTTCAAGTCCTTGCAACCTTTCTACTGCCTAGTGAGAAAGGGAGAAAGAAGATGACCCAAACCACAGGGAATGTGTATGTGTGCTCATACTCTTATTCATCTGCCACAGAATCCGCAAAAGCATCCACACAGGAGGTGGAAGACCCATCTTAAAGCCCCTAGTTCAAGGCACAAAAAGCGCAGACCTTGTTTGTCTGCTTTTCCCTATCACTAGTGACTTTCCAAAGCTCCTGGTTCAGTCAGGGTAGATTTCTCTCTCTTGTTCTTAAGAGCAAAAATAATTTCAGAAAAGTTTCAGCTTCAGCAAATCATCGTTTTCCTTGGGAGAAAAACCTTCTTGTCAAGGAATTTATTCAATGCAGACGGAACACTGGAGTTTGAAGGTGCGTAAATGAGAAAAATCATTGACCCAAAACTGACCCAAAACGCTCACCTTTTGTCTAAAGTGACAATTCAACCGGAAACAACTAAGCCACAAGGTGGAAGATAACAGTGCTGCTTCCTTACCTGAAGCAAGCGTTCTTGCTCATGTTGCCACCTTTCCTGTCGCTTTCGCTCCTCTTCTGGATCCCAGGACCAGAAATTGAAACGCTTGTGTGAAGAAAAGTGAAGCTATTAGACTTTAACACAGTACTGCACAAGGCTACCACAGAAAGTTGCACTTGATCTAGCCTACCCTTAATGGCCATATTAAAATGGGGAATTCAAAACTAGGTAATGGTTCTGTTGGTTAGTAGACAACATTCTTAGTTTTACTGACATTCAGGATTGACCACAGGTATCCAGATGAGAAAAAAAATATCATTTGGTTTGGAAACTTTAGCTAGGGGGAAAAAAAAGAGGATCTGAAAGAAAGTTCTAAGCAGCACTGAACAGAGATACCTGTAGGTACTCACATTTAAAGAAAATTACCATTTTTCTTCTGTATACTTTTCTGTGCACCGTGCAAAGTAACTTAGGATTGTAAAATGTATCCTCTCGTTTCATCTCTGTCAGCACAATAGCTTATAGTCTTGTTTTTAGTTTTTATCGAGAATGTAATAAAATCCCAGGCCTCAACTAGACCAGGATCCCATTATGGGACATGCTTCAGAATCAAGAGCAATTTTAGACCCTTGATGTCATACTCCTTTCCACTAAGGGTCACATTAGAATCAGATAGGAAGACATTCTGTCTATTTTTACATGGCAAGCCCCATATGAAATACTTGGACTTTAACGGTTACCTTTTCTTGGGAGGTAGTAAAATTGTAATCTTTTCTAATTTCTATGCGCATAAAGTAGAAGGGATAACTCAGAGTTGCATACTATTTCAGGATTTTGAAGCTCTAGAATAAAGTGATTCCCACAACCCAGTACTGTATTGCTAGCAATCCCACAACCTGCTACTGTATACCTAGTATTCCCTCTGGATAAGTGAAGAAGGCATAAATTCAGACCATGTCTAACAGAGGAAGGAATTTTCTCCATAATCGCTTTTCCAAAGTTGGTTTGGATTGTATCTTTTGCTCTCTCATTTCTACGAGACAAGATTCCTCATTCTGTTTTGGGGAGGTTTCAGGAGAGTTTGCATACAGATTTCCCTTTTGCTACAATACATAACTCTAAACCAAGCAATAACGCAAAAAAGTTACTCACATTTGATCTGTCACCACTGTCAGCATTGGCTATTGAAAAGAATAGAAAAAGAAAAAGCTAAAATTAATATAACAAAACAGCAAAATGTGCTTAGCCTGTAATTAAAGCTAAATTGTATCTGTATAAAAAAAGCTTCATGTTAGTTTTGTATTTGCTCCCACAACCAAACGCAATGACATATTGCAAGCCAATAAACCAGAAAAATGGGTTACCCCCTTCACCAACAACAGTAGCTTTGATCTGGGTACAGAGGAGCACAATATCAACTAACATCAGGTTCTACTCTACCTCTAGCTAATGCCATCTACTTCTGGCCGCAGGCACTAGTGGGGTTTGAACACTGAGCGTTATCTAGTTTGAGTTACTTTTCCCTTCGTGATTCAGCGCAGGGAAGGAAGAAGCAGAGCAAAGGTAGAAGGACGGGACTACGCTATTCAAGAGCCACAGTTACACAGAGAACTGTTGCCGTTTTCTATTCAAACGTCTTTGAACCAAGCTGATTGTGAACAATTGAGGAAAAGGTATTTACAGGCAAGCGTTACCTGGCGGCGAGAAAAACTGCGAGCGGCGCCGGCAGTTCCGCAGGGGCAGCGCCAGCCCGGCCCCGCGGGGCGGCTCTGCAGGGACGGCACACACACAAGACAAGAAACACGCCGCTGTCAGAAGGCCACGCCGTGCCGTGCCGCGCCGCGCTGGGGGGGCGCACGGCAAGCGCTTTGTAAGAAGTGCCTGAGCAGAGCTACTTTGCAGATCACGAGGCCTGCCCGCATGTAAACGCTGCTATCGTAACATACCATCTAATTTTATAGGAGGGCTCCAGCACACCAACCCAAGGAAAATCATCCCTTCCCATCTCTGTATGCTGCTCACATTGCATTTCTCTTGGAGATGCACATTTTGGGGACTATGTGACCTTTTACATGCTGTCAACACTAGAGAGCAGCCAAGTGTTTCAGCATCACTCAGAAAACACAAGAAGTACCTGCCATCTATTCCTCGATGTTTGGATTGATTTGCACTTAACATAAAACTTGTGTGCAAAACATCTCCCCGCTTAGAACAAGTGGGATTTCTACTCCTTTCCAGATAGTTTTGTTTTCCACAGCGATCACCTTTAGTAGTTTCAGCCTTGAAAACACTGGGAGAATCATTATATTACCTATATACAAACTAATAACCTAACAAGCTCTCGGGAGAACAGAACTTCAGATGATTTCTCTCTCTCTCTCTCTTTTTTTAAACAATACCTACCCACATGCATCTCTAAAATCTATACAAAATACAATTGCTACACGTTATCCATCTTAAACAAAACTTTGTCACGAGGGTAAAAAAATATTCATTTTTACAAGTTTTGTTGTACATAGGTCAAATTGAGAGCTGTAGCCAGTTATGCATAGTTATCTATAAAAAGGAGCTACGTGTGAACGGCTGCAGGAAGAATTTCTCCAGAAGTTTTTATTACCAGATAAAAGCAATCGCTAAGCCACTTTCACCAGGCAGCAGTACTAATAAATTGTGACACCCATTGATATAACATACTTTTTTAAGGCTAAGCCAGATATGTACAAGACAGCGCCCCTTCTTGACTGTCTCCTTTGAGTCACAACTCTGCTGTCATGTTTATGGGTAACAACAAGAGGAGTTTACTTCCATCACAGAAGACACACACTAACACTATCATTCAGATGCAACTGGACATTAACTATTCTATCTGCAAAAACTTTGGGTCATTGACTATGTGATTCTCCCCAAATACCACGTGTAAGTATTCAATTACTGTTGAGCCGAGTTCTCCACAGCTCCCAAACTCTCTTGCTGCTCACCTTGCAGGTCAGAACTCTGCAGAGTAACTTGGCTGGTCTCAGGTAGTTTCTTCAAAAATGGGAATACTACAGTCCCCTCCGGTTCCAGGACTTTTGGCTTCCTTACCTGTTTGGACATTTGAGAATAGACAACAACATACGAAGATCAGCAGGTAAAAACAAAGGCTAACTTAAACCCTTTCTACTTATTTTCTGAATCAGCATGATCAATGATTAATAAGCATCCACCTCCAGAACTATAACATGGAGTTGCAATACTGAAGCCCTGGAAATAACTGCTAGTTGTTTGTGGCCTGAAATATTCACCCTGTCCTGCACACCAAAGCCAATAGTAACCCAAGGCCAAAATCCTGATGTGCCTGACAGAGCAGTGTTGTCATGGCTGGTTAGTTGCTCGTTCTGCCACCACCCGCCCTTACTCAGCATTTCAAGATGACTAAAAGTGCAGGCTCCTCTTTTTAGGCTTTCCGGATACTCTGCTCTCCCAGCACTTGGAAGGACATGAGTTTTGCAGGTTAAGCTCTCTTTTCGGCCCCAGCCAGTTTCCCCATTCGGACACTACAAGCAGACCCTGGGGGGTAACTTTTGCAGGGAAACCCTCCAATAACAAGAGGATTCTGCACAGAAACCACCCTGTGGGGTCACTTACTGGCAGGCTGCTTTAAATGAACTCCTGATGTGACACTACAGAGAGCAAAATGCCAACCACTTCTCTGTGCAACAAACATTCGTCTGTGAGATCTTTATTCCTCTTTTTCGTTTTGTTTTCCACTCCCTCTCCTTCTCGCCCGGACGCACCTCCTGCGAAGCAGGGAGCTCTGTTTCCTTCTGCTCTTCCTTTTCAGGTTTCTTCACATCTTTCTCACTGGAAGCAGCTTCCTCCACAGGGACAGGGCTAGCAGGAAACTCTAAGCTGGTCACAACAGGGCTGGAACAAGCTGCAGGTGACTTGAACTGCGTTGGATCTGAAACTAATCCACACATACAAGAGACAAAGTTGCAAAGTTAAGATATTTCTTCAAATAAAACGTAGACATATTTCTTACAGTCTAATTTCTTACTGGATATACCATAAGCCCATGAAATGAAGAATGTTTTTAAAAATAATCTTTCTTCAACACAGGCAAAATTCATCCCAGAGAAGCTAAGACTTCTATATTACCTGTCAGGTGCAATTCAAGATTGTTAACCTCCGTGCTGCTGTGTGATGATTCATCTACCTGAAAGGCTGGCCTGTTTCCATCTATGAGCCACCAAAGTATTTTAAGTCAGCTGATGAGCCCTTGCTAACAGTCCCTGCGCTTCAGAGTCTTGCAGCACCTCAAGAAAAGGCTGGATGTGCTTCTGCTCATGGGGTGATGATACTATATTAAATATTTGATGGCAAAGCTAAATTGTTCAAGCAACTTCATGCTTGGCAACTGGAGCAATATATTCATATACCAATTACCGGCAGAGATTTCATGTAAATATCTACTTCAAATTTTACCTTTTATATACCCATATCAGAATAAACTACGATAGGCCCATTTTAAAAACTGCACAACAACAAAAAAAAAAGAGTATGAAATTAGTATAATAGTAGGTAGTAGATAAAATGCATGCTGAAGGGTAATGTTTTAGAGACACTATGGGGGAAAGTAGCCTCAAATGTAATAGAGAAGGACAATTTTACAAGCAAATTGCTTTCTCCTGATTAGAATTCATGCATAAAGACTTTAAAGTGGAAAATCAAGAGCGCGCACAATACCTTTGATTTAATTCACTCCCAGCTGCAAGCCCCTAGGAGGAGATTGAAGTGCCTTTTCTTTAACATCTTGAAAAAAGTATGCTAAATACAAACTATTACTGACTGATGGTTTCTGCCCTGATTGCTTCCTGGTTACAGCATACTATAGCAGCAGCTATTCACGTACACAAACAAGCAGGTAGACAACTCGCACCCAGAGTAATGCGCAGTTCAGTGTGTAATTTTTGACACATTCTGCATTTCCTAATAAGCCTTCTTGGTGCTGCTGAGGATGCACTTATTGGGCTCCTGCTGCAGGGTGGCCCTAAACCCCAGCTCGCTGGTGGGCACGGGCACGGGCCCTGGCTAGCAGCAACTCACCTGGGGAAGCGCACGCCAGGCTCACAGGTCCTGCACTTCCAGGGCCGGCCCCAACCTGTTGGCTGGCCGCTATATCTGCTTCCACTGAAGAGGCCTGCAGAGAGTAAGGGGGTTGAAACGCAATGACTACAGTGGAAATAAAAGTATGAGTTAATTCCTTAAGGCAGTGCTTGCCACTTCTTTGTAATGTATTTGAACCGAAATGTGTTTGTTTGAGCTCAACAGGGAGCAGAGCGCTGGGAAGTAAATTCATAAGCAGTTTATGCTACTCTGGTGTGGAGTCACTGAGCTAGCTTTAACGTCCTTTCCTAAATGTTCATCAACACCCATTACAAAGTTGTTTTGGAATAATAGCCCATGCAAGCTTACAAAAATAATAGGATATCTTGAATTGTGTTAGCTGCAGATAAGCATACATTTCACCCCTAGTTCTCTTTCAGAATAACAAAACAACATATGTATTAGTGAATACATAGCACCTTCCACAGTTTTAAAAGTGGCAAACTAATTAAATACTTCCTTTATTCCATGGTTGCCTAAATAACCTGTTATCTGAAGGAAAAAGCCAGAATTTCTATCAAAGGTAATGAATACTTGAAACATTATTAAGAGAGAACTGAAAAAATGTGGTGAGACCATATCAAGCTAATAATCCAAATCACTTGTGAAGGCAGTTTCCTGACCCAGGACAAGCCTGTTGCACAGCTAAACCCACGCGATCAAAAAACAGTAGCACTTCAGCTGATTTATTTAACAGCTTCCAGTGTACATCAGTTTTCCCAGCAGGCAAACCAAGAAAACCTACAGCAAACGAATCAGCTGTCACACAGTGCTTCTAACACACAAGACCTAGAATTTGATGCTTTCAACAGGAAAAAAAAAAAAGAGACCATTTTGAGAAATAAAAAGTAACACTTTTCAGAAGTGGTCTGTTGTAGACTCACTGTTTTTCTGCCCATCTGATTAACAGTTGCAAGAGGAAATCTGATGAAATTTCCTCTCAGATGCTGCCATCATCTTTTCTGGGGGCAGGACTCATACCTGCGCCTCCTGCACAAATTCTGCACCCGATCCCAGCAGATCCACACAGGCCTGCGTGGCTGCTCGTCCACCCATGCCACATGAATAGCAGAGTCAGACCCTCACAGCTCCGGCACCTGGAAGCCCTAGTGGCAGTGCCAGCCGGACGCTAACGTCTCTGCAGACACACCGGGGACTTTGGGGAGCTTTGCTGACAGCAGTGGCTCGGCAGTCCCGGAGTCTATTCTCCTTCCTTGGAGGAAGCATGCTCCGGAGCGGGGCAGGGAGCATGTTTGGGAAAGCACCCTGCCAGAAAATCACGGGGACCGGTACAGGGCATGCGGCGGGGGGCAGTGCGGGGAACAACAAGAGGAGGAGCCCCTGGCTGCCAAGAGCTGTCACCGCTCAGCGGGACAAGCGCCAGGTCGCACTCATGAGCGTCTACAAGCAGCTGCGGGCCTCCTCCAGCTCCTGCTTGGGGCTGGCGCCTACCGCCCTCCCCAGCTGGAGCCTTCCCATTGCACTGGTGCTTCCCACTGCACCTTCACCTCCGCCCACCCAAGCCCCCCGCGCTGGGCAACGCACGGGGACACGGCCCCCTCCTGCCTGCAAGTGGGTCTCAAACTGCTCAAAGTAAAACATACGCTTTAAGTGGGTGGCATGGAAAGTTTGAGGACCTCCTCTCCAACACATCTGCCTGCAAGCACCCCATACCGAGAGCAAACAGGCAGGACACACACCCCACCTCCATGAGTCACACGCGCCAAGGAGCGACAGAGCTGCCAGCGGAGGCACAGGCTGAAAAATAGGCTTAAGAGAAATGCTCCACTGACCACAAGGCCTGTGCTCCAGTAGGCTGGTCCCTTGCTGTTCTCTGGTGCTCTTTTCCCCTATATAAACCACCTCCCCCTTCTCTCCAACCCCATCCTGATGCCAGCCTGCATTGCAGTTGAGTTTTTTCCCACTTCCTCAGCCCCCGCAAAAAAATAGTGCAATTAAATGAAAATGTCTCCCCCTTCCTCACTCCCAGCAAGAAAAACACTTCAACTAAAGTAAAAGGTCTCTTTCAGCCTCATTTTGGGCTCCTGAAATGACAGCAGCCAGGGGAGAAACTACTGGAAATTTTCTCTTCATCACCAGCCTTGCACATGCTCAACAGAGAAAGAAGTACTTTTTTCTCCATGAGGACAGTCCAGCAGTGGAGCAGCCTGCCTAGAGTGCCTGTGCTGTCTCCATCCTTGGAGATTTTCGAGATCCAACTGGATCAGGCCCTGAGCTGCCTGGTTTTACCTCAAGGCTGATCTTGCTTTGAGCAGGAGGCTGTACTAGGGATCTTCAGCCTGAATTACTCTGAGATTCTACAACCTGCAAACCTCCATTACACTTGTACAAATAGCTATTTTCAAGCTCTCGTTGCCCAAATAAAAGTAGATTTTAACTAGAAAAGCCAAAGGCACCTACCTGACAACTCTATCCACTGTTCCAAAGCATAACTCTTCCAGTGAAATGATTTAAAGTTTCTATTATCATCATCATCATCATCATCATCATCATCATCATCATTTTTAATTTTGGTAAAACAACGGAACTCACCCTTCACTCCCTAAAAGCAGCAGTTCAACCTGAAAAACTTCCAAAAAAATAAATTCAGCTTGAATTTGAACCTAAATGTTTAGGCTATAAAGCCAAAAACCACCGAAAACCTTGTCTTATGCAAAAAGTATTAAACACCATTGCATACAC